ATTCCCTTTGAGACCGAAAGCAACATTTGACCAACGAAAGCCTACTACATATCAATTATCTATTGCTTGCCTTGTTGCCCAAAAGTTGGGATTAGGACTTATGCGCCAGATTTTACCAGTGCATCCATGGCTTCTACATGCACCATATTCCTTGTGTTCAAGGTCATGAATCCCCTTCCAAGACAAGGTACAGACTCGGGCTGTCACACCCTTCCAGCTTTATGGAGCTAGAGTTCAACTCGCGTTGTCCAAAATTCTGGGATGGTGGGGATTCAGTGGCCCTGCTGTTCTACTCAACTGGTCAGAAAAAAACCTTTCACTAGGTGAGACTGTAAGACACCTAGCACCCTCTGTTGCCAGAGTACTCGTTCGAACGAGACGAGTCGCTGTTCGGCTCTGTGACCTAACATTCAGTGGGAGAAGCTCAAGAGCTTTGCTCAACATTCCGAATGGCCTAAGCACTGACAAAAGTGGGATCGGATAGGAGTTCGACTCCCTAGGGCCGTTGCGAGATAGTGGATACAACGATTCAGAGTTCCCGCGTTGCCAGACTTCGGTGGACATTCTGGAAAACATAGACGTACCGACTATTTTATGTGCGATTGCACAAACGAGAGCCCCTAAGAAATGGGGGCACGGTCGGCATTTGCCGACCCAACCAGTCCGCCACTGTCCTTGTTTGTCCAATATATACCTTATCGCACTCCAAGCATGGTATTGTATAAGCCACATTGGACTGCAGATTGATATCAGCCCTATCTTTTAATTTCGAAAAACACATTTTGTTAGAACCCTTGAAAAAAAAGTTGCATGATCTTGTGTCCAAGGACATAATAGAAAAAGTTGATAAACCTCTAGAGTGGGTACACCCTCTGGTTATAGGTTGAAAGACCAGATGGAGCCTTCGACTTTGTCTTGATTCAAAAGAATTGAATCAAGCTATACAACGAGAACACTTTCTGATTCCATCATATGATGATATTGCTATCAAATTACCAAACAAAAAATTTTCCACTTTTAAGATGGTTATTGGCAGGTTGAGTTGGATAATGAAAGTTCAGACTCAATTGGTACCCCGTTTGGTCGTTATAAGCTTAAGAGATTACCTTTTGGTATTAGTTCAGCCCCTGAGGTTATTCAAAAGAAAAATCGTGAAATTTTACATAAAAACTGCAGGAGTTGTAGAAAACTTTCAAGAAAAAAATCAAAGCAAAACCTTCTTTCATATCCAATACCTAAGAGGCTATGGGAACGTGTTGATTCTGGACATTTTTACATATGCTGATAAGAGTTATTGTGTTTTATTTGATGCTTATTCTAAGTGGCTTGCGATTTTTCCTATAAGATCGTTATAAATTTAAGAGATTACCTTTTGGTATTGGTACAGCCCCAGAGGTTTTTCAAAAAAAAAAATTGGGAAATTTTATACATAAGAACTGCAGAATTTGTGAGAAACTTTCAAGAAAAAAATCAAAGCAAAACCTTTTTTCATATCCAATACCTGAGAGGCCATGGAAACGTGTTGGTTCTGACATTTTTACATATGCTGATAAGAATTATTTGATGCATATTCTAAGTGGCTTGCCATTTGTCCTATAAGATCGTTATAAATTTAAGAGATTACCTTTTGGTATTGGTACAGCCCCTGAGGTTTTTCAAAAAAAAAATTGGGAAATTTTATACATAAGAACTGCAGAATTTGTGAGAAACTTTCAAGAAAAAAATCAAAGCAAAACCTTTTTTCATATCCAATACCTGAGAGGCCATGAGAACGTGTTGGTTTTGACATTTTTACATATGCTGATAAGAATTATTTGATGCTTATTCTAAGTGGCTTGCGATTTGTCCTATAAGATCGTTATAAATTTAAGAGGTTACCTTTTGGTATTGGTTCAACCCTGAGGTTTTTCAAAAAAAAATTGGGAAATTTTACATAAAAACTGCAGAATTTGTGAGAAACTTTCAAGAAAAAAATCAAAGCAAAACCTTTTTTCATATCCAATACCTGAGAGGCCATGGAAACGTGTTGGTTCTGACATTTTTACATATGCTGATAAGAATTATTTGATGCTTATTCTAAGTGGCTTGCCATTTGTCCTATAAGATCGTTATAAATTTAAGAGATTACCTTTTGGTATTGGTACAGCCCCTGAGGTTTTTCAAAAAAAAAATTGGGAAATTTTATACATAAGAACTGCAGAATTTGTGAGAAACTTTCAAGAAAAAAATCAAAGCAAAACCTTTTTTCATATCCAATACCTGAGAGGCCATGGGAACGTGTTGGTTCTGACATTTTTACATATGCTAATTGTGTTTTATTTGATGCTTATTCTTACAGGCTCTGAAAGTGCTGAAGCTGCTTTTTCTCAAATTAAACCAATACTTGTAAGGTTTGGGGCGCCTGATATTTTTCTTAGGCTCGGTTGTATAACAACAACAACAAACAAGTTTCACGGCTGAAGAAAAAGAGGCAGCCTCCTTTTTGAGAGAAAGGTTTTTAATACTCATTGTCTCATTACCTGGTATAGTGTGTATTCATTACCCATTAAATTTTTATAAACTAATTGATATTTTAGCCAAACCTTGCAAAATAGGACTGTACAACAAATCGGAAGTTCACACTGACTAGTGGCTCAAAGGAAAAAACTCGTTGTAACATCATGGTCGGTCCAGAGTCAGACTGTGAACTGAGGTTGATCTTGAACGACCGAAATTTGATGTTCAAGGGGAGTTCAACTCTTTTTTAGGTTTTTCTTACATCACTCTCCTATGTTTTGTTTGTTTTTTGATGGATGAGGAACCTTGGCTTTTAAATATATATATTTTTTCAAATTGATATTCGATTGATAAATTTTCAGGGATTGTAGTCCCATGATTGAGATAAAATTCAGTGAAAGTTTCAGCTTTCTATCTATAATAGAAAAAAAGTTATGACCTTTCAAATTTTTCCAAAATCTAAATCATAAGGTAGGTACCTTCTTACTAAAACGATGTAATTTCAAATTTTTTTTTGTCGAGATTTTGTATCCTTATGGTCAATCAACATACCCCAAACTGCATACACTAAATTATTCTCAGATTTGAAGCCGAAATCTATGAAAAAAGGCACTCAGAAAAATTGAAAAATTGATAAATCACCCCAAATTGATTAACACGATTTTATCTCAGGAACTATAAGTGCAAATGAGCTGAAATTTTCAGGGATTGTAATCCTTTGAAAGAGATAAAATTCAGTGAAAGTTTCAGCTTTCTATCTATAATAGAAAAAAAGTTGACCTTTCAAATTTTTCCAAAATCTAAATCACCTTCTTACTAAAACGATGTAATTTCAAATTTTTTTTTGTCGAGATTTTGTATCCTAATGGTCAATCAACATACCCCAAACTACATACACTAAAATATTCTCAGATTTGAAGCTGAAATCTATGAGGCACTCAAAAAATTTGAAAAATTGATAAATCACCCCAAATTGCTAAACACGATTTTATCTCAGGAACTATAAGTGTAAATGAGCTGAAATTTTCAGGGATTGTAGTCCCTTGATTGGGATAAAATTTAGTGTAAGTTTCAGCTTTCTATCTATAATATAAAAAAAGTTATGACCTTTCTCAAGGTCTCAAATGTTACTGTGCTCAATCACAGGAATAAAATTTGGGAAAGGTTGAGAATTTGCATGAGAATCCAAGATCATACACATTACGAGACTGCAGAGGAAATTGCATTGATATTGAACCATCGGAAAAACCTTTCAAGTTAACTGATAATTCACTTGATTTTGCAACTGATGTTTCTTATTCTACTGATAGTGATGTTACACCCTCTGTAATTATACCTATAGAACTAGTCATTATGAGCTGACTTTACTGAACATATACTATGACACCAAAAATGTGTACAGTCAAATCCCAGTTGTTGAATGAAAATGTTCAAACTACTAGAGTTGGACGAACTATTTAAAAACTAGAAAAACTAAACTTGTGAGGGAATATGTATGATATTATGGTAATATTATGATAGTGTTAATTGTGTTTCATATATCTATTTGTATGGACATTTGTAGTTATTAATTATTATTATTATCAACATGCTCGTGATTGAACATCCTTGCTAACATGAACAACATAATTATTATGTACAGAATTTTGTAATAGATCTAATAGAGGATCGTATTAGAACGTAATAAAGATGCTTTATTTTATAACTAAGTGCTTGACAAAGTTATACGTAACCCATGAGACTCTCTAAGAAAAAAAAAGGAAACACTTCGATGAGTGCGAGGACCATGGTATCTTTGGTACCCCATTTGGTCTTTATAAGTTTAAGAGATTACCTCTTGTTATTGGTTCATCCCCTGAGGTTTTTCAAAAGAAAAATTGTGAAATTTTTCATAAGACATAGGATCAAAAGTAGTCCATCTAAAAATTAAAATGGAGTTTCGCAGTACACCTTGGCAGACCATATACTGAATGAAATAAATCAACTGATTACAGGTTTACACTAGAGATAAAATGGCTCAAAATAAAGTTCTCTAGGCGAAAATTGGAATATTTTCACTGATACTGCGGCATTCATTCTCCTGATCTGATGAAAACTATTAAATTTTTACCAATAATAGTCATGCATCAAACACAAAAAATGATGACTAAAACTGTCTCGCTGATGAGCTTTTAATACTTATCGCCATCGCAATTAAGTACGGAGTGTCCTCCTATGACCGAATAGGTATATTTATGTGCATAAATAAGCATAAAAAGGCCATTACTAAATTAGTCGTCGTAGAGACACTCCTTGAAAATAATATTAATTGTTAATTCCACCGTGGAACGTCGCACTTGACGTTTTTTTGCCCGTAATCGACGACTTATCTCATGAAATCAAGCAATCAACAAATAATATTCCCTTTAACGAATCAGCTCTGGTATTTTATGAGATCAATACCTGTTATGCTTTTTTTATATACACATTCATTGGATTTAATTTTTGATTAATGATTGTTTCAGGTCTATAGTTGGTAGGGCTCACTTCGAAAAGCAACCACCATCAAACTTAAGAAAATCCAACTTCTTCCATTTTGTGATAGCCCTTTATGACAGGGCGGGTCAGCCTATTGAAATTGAAAGGACCGCATTCATTGGGTTCATCGAAAAAGACCAGGTAAGAAAGTCAGAATGCCTAAATACTACAGTGTCAATGTATCTTCATAAATTTCCATGTATTAGAGCCTGGGTTATATTCCTACGGTGTTATCGATACGAGGGTATTTAGCCGGGGGTTGATAAACGACTTCAGGAATTTATTCACTCTTTGTTGTTAATTCTTGTTTGTTCCCGAAATGCTTTCTCCTCGGCTTGCGCGATAACTTATTTGGCGCTGGGACGAGGGAAAATAATATAGTCGGATCGATTTATGGTAATTTTCGATGAAAAATATAGTTTATGAGGAACGAGAAAATCCAAGTAAGCTTTTATGTATTAAGTTTAAAAGAAATTGCTTGTAAACTTAAGCTGATGACTGATTTCTCTTTTGGATAGCAGTAATTTAATTAAACAAAAATAAAGGTTGCTCCTGTATTATTTTATTCTCATTTCTCATCAGTTGGTAAAAGACACACCTCCTAAACACATCCATCAAAATGTTATTTATTATAAAAAGACCCGCACACGCGTTTAGCTGTTCTCAGCAAAGTAACGTGTTTATGTAAACAGTTTTTTCGATTAATTTCCAAGTCCTTCGTCCGTGTTTAGATAATGGAGAACATGGAGACCTGATGATGGATAACGATAAGGGAGCTTCCGCGGCAATATTTTAATCAGCCCACCCTCTTGACGGCGTTTTTAACTGAAACATCGGGTAAAATGAACAGTGAATGTTGTTCATTAGTTGTGAAATATTCATTTTTTCATTCATAAAACATAAAATATTATGTGGTGCTCAAACACAAGATATTATAATGCAACAATCTCCCTTTCAACCATTTCCCCGTAAAAGGTACAAGGGTACAAGTTACGGAATGGCGGTAACGCGGAATTTTAGCGTCTGTGGCGTCGTTACCATGGCAGCGACGCCACGCTTCCAAATGTACAATAGCGAAAGTGAGATGAATAAAATTCAAGGGTCAGTGACGTCACAATGGAACTTTCGTATTTATTTTAATTTTATCTACGACTATTATCTGGGCTCTGGTCAGAACAAATTACTTCTGAGAAAAACTAAAAATCAGTTTCAAGAGGGGCCACTAATATATTCTTCCATCCTTAACCTCAGGTCAGGCCTCAACTCTTTAACATCAACATCTGTATTACTCCTTACTTCAGCATAATTCGCAATTTTTAAGGCTCACTTCTCTCATATTGATACACTGTTAAGATGGTTATTAGGGAGTTGAGTTGGTTAATGAAAGTTCAGACTTAAATGACCTTTGGTATCCCGTTTTTTCGTTATAAGTTTAAGAGATTACCTTTTGGTATTGGTTCAGCCCCTGAGGTTTTTCAAAAGAAAAATTGTGAAATTTTTCATAAAAACTGCAAAATATGTGAAAAACTTTCAAAAAAAATTTAAAGCAAAACCTTCTTTCATATCCAATACCTGGAGGCTATGGGAACGTGTTGGTTCTGATATTTTTACATATGCTGATAAAAGTTACTGTGTTTTTTTTGACGCCTCTTCTAACTGGCTTGAGATTTTGCCTATAAGAAATAAAAGTGCTGAAGTTGTTATTTCAATATATTTCAAGAAGGGGCCACAAAACAAATATATTCTTGCATCCTTAACCTCAGGTCAGGCCTCAACTCTTTAACATTTTTATTACTCCTTACTTCAGCATAATTCGCAATTTTCAAGGCTCACTTCTCTCGTATTGATAAGTACACATAATAATCCAATAACATCCATCGTTATTCCTACCTATCATTCATCATCAAGGCCCCACAAATAATAAAAAAACAACAAAATGATGTTTAGTAGGTACCTACCTACTAGCTGGTGGCTGACCAGGTTCTTTTTCTGGAAGAGAAAGGATTAAAAATCGGTTTTTTAATCTTTTCTTGGAAATTGGCCCCACGTTGGGCGCCAATTTGTTACGAGTCTAAAAGCGACAGGAGGAAGCTAAGGGAGAAAAGAGTGAAGGGAGGGATATGACTCTTGAAGGTGGCCTAAAAAAGAAATCCTACTTATAGGGAAGCGCCGACTAGCCCACAAAATTCTCCTATAATTAAAAAGAAAACACCAAACTTCTTTATTGGTAATTTAGGCCTCTATCTGGCTATATATTGTTCTGACCTTCTCCTTACCAAACTTCTCAATCGCATTGCTCTATTATATACCTTGAACTTTCTTCTCCCCAGATTTTTTTATTTTGATTCCATTTCTCACACTAAGAATTAATCTCCAAGCTCTCTTCTAATACATGCCTGAATTGAATCTTTTCAATTTCTAATAGAAACTCCGACGCTACTGAAATAACTGAACAACGATGGAATTCGAGCAGGCAAAGTGAGTGAGAGAGGAGGAAAGACTGCCTAGCCAAGCAACCCCCGCGGGAAAGTAATTGCGTTTCACGCTGGGCATTTATCATAAAAGGGCTATTTTGAATATTCGGTGCAGGCAGGGAAAGTGAACTGGAAATTAAGTTTTATTGGCAGGAATTTTGATAGGCTGTAAAGGGTTTTTTGACGAATTAGATAAATACTTACGAAGGGGTAAGGGTGGTGCTTGTTATTATTACCTGAATCATTTTTAGAAGTTAGAACTTTTATATTCACATTTTTTAAGTTTGCTTTTCTTTCTAGGAAGCAGATGGACAAAAAACGAATAACGGTATTCAGTACAGGTTGCAGCTTCTTTTTGCAAATGGTAAGTTTACAGACTAATAATATTATTATTTAACTTGAAGCCAACAAACTGAACTTTTGGTCTTGCCAGTTTGGTGTCTACTCATATCATAAAAAACCAGAATGCCTGGGCGTTCTACCAAATAAGGAAGATTGATAAGTTTCTGATCTTTATGTAAACTATAAAGAATAATATAGGTACAGGCATAGTAGTTACCTATTATCTTGTAACAATGAGCCGTATTCATAAAACTCTCCTAGCCTAGCCCCTTGGATTCGAGACAGGTTCTAGAGCAGTCAGTTTATACACCTTGTTACGGAACTATTTTTCCCCCTCAAGTAAAAGTACCCCATCTAGAAATTTATTACTTAGTTTTCATTTCACCTATACAGTTTTTATTTCGCTATTTTTCAGTACCATCTCTAACAATAATTGTGGCTATTTATTTAAACATTTCATATTATATATTATTACAGATTCCTACAATTGCTTTATAGTACCGATGGTTCTATTACAGATTTCCGTACTACTTTCCTTTGTACCATTACAGTTTCCTCTATTTGGTAGCAGTACCAGTATCCCCCAATAGATTCTGTAGAAATTCCTCCAGGTTCTTTTTCTGGAAGAGAAAGGATTAAAAATCGGTTTTTTAATCCTTTCTTGGAAATTGGCCCCACGTTGGGCGCCAATTTGTTACGAGTCTAAAAGCGACAGGAGGAAGCTAAGGGAGAAAAGAGTGAAGGGAGGGATATGACTCTTGAAGGTGGCCTAAAGAAGAAATCCTACTTATAGGGAAGCGCCGACTAGCCCACAAAATTCTCCTATAATTAAAAAGAAAACACCAAAGTTCTTTATTGGTAATTTAGGCCTCTATCTGGCTATATATTGTTCTGATTGTTAAAAACCCTTGATATGCTGAACAATACTTATGATGGTAATAATTACGGGGTGAGTATTTCTTTTGACCTCAGAGCTTCACTACCAATCAGCTGGAGTGTAACCATCTAATTTCAAGACCCAGGACAACACACACATGAAACCCAATTAACTTACAGGGCGTTTCTTGATTGTTTGCTGTTTGCGAGTCTTACGGCGACCCAGGAATCTACCTGACGTGGAGTGAGAATCGAGTGTCCTCTCCAAATCTTCTTGGTGGTTAGGGATGCTCTAGCAACTAGGGGGGCAGTGAGGCCGACTGGAGTGGTTCAGAAGGTACCTCTGGAGTACTAGGGGTTGATGGGCAACCGGCACTCGAGTATCGGAGGAAAACAAGGCTTCCAATAAGGGGAAGAGACTAAAGGAAAAAAAAGGCCTAAAAAAAAAAAAACAAGATTTTCGCACATGTTAAGCAAATAGCAAATATAGTAAAAGAACTTTAACATTGTAGAACTTATCCAAAAGAAGAATGCCAGAAAATGAAAACTTACCAAAATACTTTGGCCTTTTACAGACACAGCACACGGAGAAAAATAGCTAAATTTGAGATTTTAACCCTTTAAAACTCACATAACCAAATCTGCCTATAGTGGCACTGTGGTGCTATAATCTCAGCAACTCACAATTGGGAGTTGGACACTCAAAGTTATTTTTGGTTTTAAATCAGCAAAAACGCCTAGAGGAAACTCTCAACGTGCTCTTGAAAGCTGCCCTCTTTTCTACCAAAAAAAAAAAAACGATTTTTAATCCTTTCTCTTCCAGAAAAAAAACTTTGAGGGGAATTTCTGCAGAATCTATTGGGGGACACTGGTACTGCTACCAAATAGAGGAAACTGTAATGTTACAAAGGAAAGTAGTACGGAAATCTATATTAGAACCATCCCTCCCTTCACTCTTTTCTCCCTTAGCTTCCCCGTGTCACTTTTAGACTCGTAACAAATTGGCGCCCAACGTGGGGCCAATTTCTAAGAAAGGATTAAAAAACCGATTTTTAATCCTTTCGCTTCCAGAAAAAAAAAAACTTGAGGAATTTCTACAGACTCTTTTGTGGGACACTGGTACTGCTACCAAATAGAGGAAACTGTAATGGTACAAAGGAAAGTGTTACGGAAATCTGTAATAGAACCATCGGTACTATGAAGCAAGTGTAGGAATCTGTAATAATATATAATATGAAATGTTTAAATAAATAGCCACAATTATTTTTAGATGATACTGAAAAATAGCGAAATGAGAAATGTATAGGTGAAATGACAACATAGCAATAAATTTCTAGATGGGGGTACTTTTACTTAAGGGGGGAAAATAATCTCGTAACAACCAATCAGGCTTCTTATACAGTTCGAAATATATAAAATTCTCAAATTATAAATATTGAAAAATCACTCTTGAAATCTTTGAACTTGCGCCCTTTGAACAAACTCCAGTCATTAACCATTTCCAAGGAACTATATTTTTTCTACGAGCATACTAAAGCTAATGTTACGACAAGTTTAATTTAAATAAAATGCGATTGTGCAGAAGGTAGAATTAAAAATGTATTGAAAGGTATTTATAGAAAAAGGTAAAGGTATTAAAGGTAAAGGTATAGGTGTATCAACAATACAAACAATTCAATCTGTGAATTCCATGTTACAATGATTATTTCAAATTCTTCCTGCACTGAGTGCGGGAAGCAATCTCTTCCCGCACTGGCGCGGGAAAAAAGTCTTCCCGCACAGCAAATCGTGCGGGAAGAGCCATTTCCAGCACGCTCGTAAAAAAAAGTCCGTTTTTTGAGAATTTGGATCTTAGATGTGTACCTTTTGGACACACTACAGGCCCTGTTAATTTCCAAATTGACTGCTCTATGACCTGTGGCGCCCCAAAGGGCTAGGCACCAAAATTTTGTGGAAAATTGAATATTTTACTTGTGAATCTGAATGATTCCGAACCCTTCGGGCCAGCCACTGGTTCTAGAACAGTTCATTTACACACATAATTAGGCTCGAGGCTGCTCAAGAAACTGAAGTCCACAGAAAGTTCAAAATACTGAGTACAGGGTGTACCACCACCTGTAACCTGTAACTATTTTATTTTTGATCATACATAAAAAAGTTACAGGTGGTGGTACTTTATGGCTTGACACCCAGTACAAGGAGTAGTTTTGTAAGAATTTTAAAAATGACTTTTGAGGATTCTGTGGTATGCCTTTCGGGTATGTCAAAGATTAGTAAGCTTATATACTAATTAAGCTTACTTTCAAGTTGTATGTGCTAAATATACCTACATAAAATTCAAATTAGCAATGGTTTTATCAGGCTTTGAGAAAATCTCGTGCTTTGAATCTGAACAATAGAACGCGAAATAATTGGAAAAATAGAATAAGGACCTACCTATTGACATACGCAGATGATCAAAAACTAGTTTTCTGACGTTCTCTTAGAAGCCACACCCTGGAAAAAGCAGTCAAAGGTCAATAAGTTTATATACTAAACTCTGTTCAACGAACCTACGGAGCATAAGAGTCAAAATAGCGGCCAGGTTTACAATGAACACTGATTGATGCCATTTATTCATTTCAAAATCTTACAAAACATCACTCTACAGTGAAAAGCGGGATGATACCAATAGTAACGAACCTTTTTGAAGATTTTGTTGTTTTTTCACTCCGTAGGTTGGTTGGACAGAGTAGGGTTAAGCTTACTCTCGAGTTGTACAGGGTGTCCAAGAATCGATGGTTTTTGGGGGGTTTCGGGTATTTCTAAAGGAGTTGGAAAAGATCAAATCCCCACTTGCGAGCCTCGATTTTCATCAGAAATTGACTGGTTGTTACAAATTGATCAATGCCCCACGTTGGGCGCCAATTTGTTACAAATTAATTGATTATTTAGACTTTAAGATAAGATAACCTAAGGTCATGGAATTCAAATCATCAAGATAACGTGAAGTCCTTTTATATGCAAATGAAACCACTCAAAATCCAACAAACAATAATTTTATTTTGTTTACAATGTTATGTATTAACATATAGTAACAGTCAATGTTACTTTCTGTAAAATTTTAGTGTTGATAGCTCGGTTTTTTTCCAAAAGTGTCTGGGACACAAATAATGCATAATAATCTCCTGGACTAATTCTACTGTCATTCATTTCAATGCATTTAATTCCTAGTTTGACAAATATTTGACATAAAATTCATATAATAGGATAAGAGCTAATGTGATGCTCTCCCAGTCACGGTACCTTTCCAATCCGGAGCTCTTCAATGGGTGTTGGGGTTTCACTTCCGTGAACTGGAGCTCTTCGTGTTGTTTCCTGCATCCAGGAAAAGGATAGATTGCTGGGGTGACGGTCACTCCAGCTGATCCAGACTCCAAACAATGATCTTTATGTCGAGTAGGTACCCAGAAAAGAATAAGGCAGTATCAGGTTCACCAATATTTGGAATATTAAATCCCTGAATTCGGTTAAAAAATGAGTGTCTCGCAAAGAAAATTTAAATTGAAATTTAATATAAAACTATTGTTGTACAGACACTCCTTTCCAGCAGAATCAGGTATGAACGGCTATTGAAAATTGAGAAAAAAAAAACTATTAAATATTGGAAAAATACAATTAAATAGTTGAAAATAATGGTTGGATAATAGTAAAATTAAAATAATAACAGCAAGATTAAATTAAAATGCTTGTTACCAAAATGCTGCTTTTCTGGCAGAAGCACTCAGGCAAAAATATGAAAAAAATAAAATAAAACAATAAGAAATTAAATCTTTAGATTCTCCCCCAAATAGACAAAATGTTCCTTTAAAATTAAGGTAGCTACTATAGTTATTACAAGATAAACCTGGGGTTGAATTTAATCAAATCCAGAATATGTCAAAATTCTTGAGATGTTCGAATTAAAACTTTTTCACTGAATTTTGGACCTGTCTAGATTTCTATTGAAGAATTACACCCTTTAGCCGAGATAATAATTGACGGAGTCAAACAGAAAATGGCTATTCAGGCCTCTGCCTGGATTTAGTAAAGAGTTGATAGGGATGGACACAAAAATTTAGTTTTCATCGACTCTATTTAGAACAAATGGTCCAATATTCCCACACTAATAATTGATTCTGAAAACCAGAGCAGCAGTACCTATTTAACTCCAAAATTCTGAATTGACTTACCTCAGGTAAACGTGGCACTACCAAGCAGCACTCACACAAAATGGAAGCCAACAATTAGATAAAAAAAATTAAAATATAATATTTATATTTCAAGAATAGATAAGAGAAGATTTATCAGGTAAAAACTCGATAATGATATGATAATATGCGTTGATAGCAAAATATATTGAAAAATCCATAAGGGAGAATCCAAAAATATAAAGCACAAATTATTAAAAATAAAAAGGACTCGCCTGCTAGACTACTGTCGAGAAAAGAGAGCGTTTTAGAAACCAAACCCCACAGGAAAACGAACCTGTGTTTTTTTTTTATACTTAACTGCATTTTAACCAGTTCAACCAATCAGACGAGTACACCCAAAAGATCATATTCACTTACAATGAAATCACAATGAAAAACCACGTGGAATGAAAGAGAATAGATAAAAATCTTCTAGAATTATTTTAATTGTTTATAAATTATAATAATTTAAATTAAGTTTATGTCAAAAATAAAAAACTGTTAACCCTTAAAAATGGAAGAATAGAATAAGGCCCTATTTGCACATGCGTAGATTACTGAAATAGTTTTCACATATGTCTCTAATTATTTCGACATTTTTGCCGACCAATGTAACGAGAAAGAAATGGAAAAATAGAATGGGAAAGAAATGGAAAAATAGAATAAGGCCCTATTTATGTACATGCGCAGATGATCAAAAACCGGTTTCCTGATGTTCCCTTAGTAGCTACGGTTGCGCACACCTTGGAAAAAGGAACTTTGCTATTTCGGCTGATAAAAATCTCACATATAAGTAATAGAGATTTTGCTAAGAATCATATATGGCCCCTTTTACCTGATAATGTTTCATTAGCAACATCATCAGTATACACGAGCGTATCTGAAAGCATTACGGCGACAGAACTTGTGACAAGCCCTTCGGATACGCCACAAGTCTTAGCACTGTTAGTTTATACACCAATTGAGATTTGATGACTTTCTTTATAGATATGGCTCAATGATTAGTTGAAGGGAAGCGGAAGCCGGAAACTAAGCTTGAATCAAATAAATACTGAAGAATGGCGAAGAAGGTCAAAACTATTCAAATTATCCTTGCACGCCAAGAGCAGCCTTATGTTTCACTAAGTGTTGCTATGAATATGGCTGTATTCACAGTCGAAACACCAAATAACTACCTCTGCTGATGGAAACTCGTAATACTTGGAACACATAGAATAACAGACATCGTGGTTAAATAACTTACGTACAAGGCAGTAAGTCTGCAATGGACAAATTACTCATGACACCATTTCCTATTGGATAGGCAAAGGCAAGACCAAAACAATAAGGAGAAATCCTGACATCAATAATATTGTTATGAGGTCTGACTTGAAATTGTAAACTTGACCAAATGAAGTAGAAAAAAAAATCGTCAAGCATCCTGCATCAGTGCCGAATTGTATAAACCGTCCGATTCACTAAATAAATACAATTAAAGCCAAAAAGGACAAAGAAAAAATCAGTTACTTAGGATTCCGCGTACGTCCGCGCCGGTCGCGGATTTCCTTATAAGTCAGGCAACAAATAGCCGCGCCAAAGTGTAAATGGCGTTTCTCGGTCTCCGCCAAAAAGGCATAACAGCGCGCCGTCAATAGAAATAATTGACAATTGATAAACTATTCAGTAAAACTAATTAATTAATTGCCTTTTGCGAGCTGGTCGAGTATATGTGAGCTGGATTTCATTATTGCGTAAACGGCCGATTGCGGTAAGAGAATCGATCTAAAATGGTAGTGGCATAGTACTTGGTGATGGGTACTCGCGTGGTGTAATTTTTTAGCCGGAGCACGCGTTCATCCAGCAGATGGCCGGAATAGATTCTTTATGGAACATTTTTGTTTAACGACGCCCATCAAGAGTGGATTTACCTAATGCATTCCAAATTCAGCGTATATTTTTACTTTTGAAAAATGTCCCCCTGCAAACTATTCATTATCCAAAAAGCCCACCCCATCATAATATTCCTCCGATCTTTACAAGGCAGTAAGATTTTCCTTCCGAAGGAGGCGCGTTAGGTAATATAGACGAAACAAACCTTAAGATCGGCGCTATATCTCATTTAGAGCCGCACACCTCAGTCAGACCCAAAGGAGCACTATCCTCGTCCTTATTTGTAATAAAATAACTCGGTGAACGCTCTCCGAGGAAGGATATGGAAGAGAGCGACAAAACGACAGGTCGTTTGGGTTTGTGTTAGAGGGAGTTTTCGTCAACAACGTACATTTTCTAGTTGACAAAAATATTTAGGGTTTTCAATTTATAACTGGAAAGTGTCACCTCAGTTTCCATATTTTGAAAGTTGAGCTCTATCTATAAAGACACTTGATAAGAAATGTTCAAAAAATACTTCATCACATCATCAGGCACTGAATTGCTGAGTCTTAAAATGGTTCAATATGGTATTGTCCGCGGTCGGTCTTTTTCATTCAGTACCACCAGGCACGATCCCATATTCCACCCATAACAAACCGAGATTTTTAATTACTCTCGGCCGGGCCCAACCAGGCCTGAATTATACGAAATACCGACCGCGGGACCTGATTGACTACTAAATCCAATTAAACCGATCCGAAGTGAGCAGCAAATTCCCATTTGGGATTCAGCAGGCGTTTTGTTAGTTCTTATGCGTTTCCTTATACGCAGTTGCCGAACAAATAGCCGCTCTGTCAAGTGTAAATAAGACTCTTTTTTTTTCTGATTATATACACTCCGAAACGGTATTGTAAAACGACAATGATCTGCACTCGTTTTATGAATTGTAAATATATTTGCGGCGGCACCGAAAGTGATCAGTGGTCCAGGAAACAAATCAGAAACGTGAGAATAACTTTTTCAGTTGTTGAATAAGTGATGTAGAATGCTACTTAATTTACACAATAGTCATAAATCCAAATGCCAAGACGCTAGTGCGGCCCTTAGAACTAATTTGCGGCTCGACTGGTCAGCAGTTGTGGTTTTACAAGACAAACTCACCAACTGAATTAACTGGACAACGACTGTGAATTTATTGTTCGAGAAAATAAACCCGGTGGTTTCATTTAGGCAATTGAACTTTTTCATTATTAACGAACGACGTCATATATTTGAATATTCATTTATTTGGTCCTCAAGGCTCAAAGCCGACCAAGATCATATTATTATACGAGCCTCGAGTTGGTTTTATGGTGCACATACACTTACACGGCTTTTATGGGGTCATTTTAAAACTTAGCCTAAAAGCCGTAAGCTTGGTTTATGTCGCCGTGCCAGGATAACAACTAATATCGCTTTTGTTTTGTTGTTGCAGGAGTCAGGCAGGAGCAGGATATCTACGTCAGGCTTATCGACTCCGTTACGAAACAGGTAAGTTTCTATACATATAAGGTCTCCGGCCCGAGTCGGTAAGTTTAATGGGCTTGTCTTTGGAGATGGAGTTTTTGCAATAAGGATATTTGAATTTTAGAAACTCTATTTGAAGATTGAAGAGAAATTATTACAATTTTTGCAAATCTAGGTATACATAATGTTCGCAAAAAGCAGTAACTCTGAATGAGCCTCTTGAGTTTTGAATTAATCTTTGATCAGCCTACTTCATAACGAGTAACTACAACAGCGAGCTCTCCATGTATGTTTGTGTTGGAGGAGTCAGTTACACTACGACCAAGTTTGATCTATTGTTCCCCTCCTTCTGCTGCTAAGTTCAGGTTTCCTGCTAAAAGCAGTCCCTCTAGTCCTAGATTCTTTGAGAATTTTAGGGAATCTAGCTGTTCCAGGACTGGAATGTTTTCCAACTGTATAAGGGGATTTTCCAGGTTCTTCATCCTTGACAAGTAACGGTATCGCAGTTAAGTAGAAGATGGTAAGGTGTTTGTTTTCCATCTTCACAGAATCTGCAGGTTCTACCAACCCCAATTTCTTTAGGTGTTTCTTAAGTCTGCAATGTTCCGAGAGAAACCCGGTTATAGTCGTGAGACTTTTCTTGCAGCAGTTCTGATATTTTTTGGTTGAAGTTGCCCAATAGATGGCCTGTCGTAATCCTGGCTGTTTTACTTGTTGTTTGTTTCGTAGCCAGTTCTTTTCTTTTTGACGATTTCTTGTAGCTGCGCATTTCCGACACCGCAAAATGGTTCTGGCCCAGTGAAGGGAGTAGACGCTCCCGTTCTTACGAGTCTTTCTACGCATTCGTTACCCTCCACCACTATGTTTCCAGGCACTTAGAGGAGGGTTACTTTGTTTTCTTTTCTCAGCTCATTGAATTTCTATAGACAGTCCCATACTATATTTGAATTGATGACCGGGGAGCTCAATGCTTTGATAGCTGCTTGGCTGTCTGACATTATTACAATCTCTCGTTTTCGATAACTTTTGTTCAGGTTGAACAGCACGCATCTTCCGATCGCATGAAGTTCCGCTTGAAATATGCTTGGTGATTTTCCCATTGACTCCGACTATCTGGTTCATAGCCCGAATACTCCGGCTCTAATTTCCTCAGAAGTTTTGGAACCGTTTGTGTACCATTTGATGGGGTTTACTTTAAGGGATTGGATAGATTTGATGTTTGATCTGTTTCTTGTACTAAATTCAGTAAAGGTGCAACACCGGTTCTAGCACAAAATCAGTCATTTTCCCATGTAAATTTGCATAAGAAAATCTAAGGTCCGTTCTAACAATTTCCGTACCATTTTGGAGTGAGGGGAAAATTTTCCAGGAATAAGCCCCGCCCCTTTCCCTATGTGTGTTCGATGAGCCAGGTACGGTCAATGATCCTGAACGATGAAAATCACGGGCACTGGAAAGAATTGTCAGAACGGACTTTAGATTTTCTTATTAAGATTTACATGGGAAAAATACTGATTTTGTGCTAGAACCGGTGTTGCACCTTTACTAAGTTCGATGGAAAAGTGGTGGATCCATGAGGTGTGCACAGTTTGGGGCCAAAGTGTTTTTTCCTTGTAAACCTATCTTTGTCAGTCTGACATATGATCTACTAGCAAGCCGCTTCACTATTATGCGGAGTGGTATGAGGTCTAAGATGACTTCCAGTGCCGCGGTTGGGCATGATCTCATTGCTCCTGTTATACAGAGACACGCAAGTCACCAGGCTACCTCTCCGTAGGTGATGATAGCTCTCACTACCATGGTATTCATTCATCGTGTTGGAGTAAACAATTCCAGGAGATAAAGTTTCCTAAATGCACTATGTTCTATCTAGTTAGATAGGCGATCTAGTTTTTGTTCTAGGAAAACGAACTAGTAATCGTTTCTAAGTAACAGTTGTTATAATATTGTTGATTTTTTATCATAAAAACCCTTTTACTTTTCTTGGAATTTGCCTGTTTATTTTGAATGCTGGAAGCTAGAGAACACCAATATTCTTGGTTCTTCGACTCTGTGGGCGAAGGTAGAGTCGAAAGGTTATGGGCCCAGATAAAGCTGACTGGAAAGGCTGAAAAAAGGGTGTAAATTAAAACCTTGTACACAGAAGATTACAATTATTACAGTGAGGAGGAACTCATCCAGTATCAAGAAAAGTAATAGGTGGAAACAGTCACGGCAACCAGTACCCAAGTACAGATAAAATCATTTGATTGTGTAAAGGATTTTCCAATTGGAAATTTAGAATGAAGTTGCTTCTCGAGCATCATGGAGTTTTGGAGATGCTGACAAAGGATCCGCCTAACGAGCAATCATCTGAGTATGTGAAGGGGTTACACTTTTCTTAACGAATTAATAAGAAGCCCATAATATGCTCGGTTTGCTCAGCAAAAAAATATTAGGTGTGGGTTGATAGTTTTTAATAAGTACAGTAAGGCAAAGGCGCCACTGAATTTTTAAAAAAAATTATAAAATTGCATAAAATATGGAAGTCTGAAAATTCAGAAACACACCTAGAAAATAATTAGCAAACGGTAATTGGTAATCCTGAAAAGGAAATAAATAAGGCACACAACTCAACAAACCCTGACCTAGGTAAACCAATAAAACAATTAGGTAAAATTTCAAATTAAAATAGTATTATATTTCACAGTAAGGTTGAAAATCAAAAATTTAATAATTTCAAGTATGACACAATAACTGATAAAACAATTTAAATACAATCAATTAATAGAGGTCAACTTTCAATCAGCAGTTTTACCAAATTCAAAATTAAAAAAAAAAAACGATAATACTAAAATCTACCTCAATATAATATAGTATAGTATGTACCATATAAGTTCACTAACATTTGTACCTGAAAGAAATCAAATGTTGGGCTATATAACGGTTAAATAGTCTGGAGATTTAATAGAAATCCACAAAATATAAGTCAAGATTAATTTTTGACATTATAGGTACTTACACAATAATTTCAAATTCAGAACATAGTGTCCAACCTTGACCTCAGTTCAGATAAATGATTATGATTAATAAAAGATAAAAGATACTTAGGTACATTATTCAAATATGACCGTACTAAAAGTAAGGTAAAAAAAATCTATAGTGAATACGGAAAAACAAAAATTAAAAAAAAAAATAGAGTTCACTCTGGTGTCAAGAATAATGTATGAAATGAAACTTTAGAATTTAAAGGTAATGTCGGTAAAAATTGAATCAAATATGATAACTAATAATAAAATAGATTTCATAGAATAAGATAGTAAGTTATAATTGAAGGTTTATACAAGCCTCAAGTCCAACAGAAAGACATATTACAGTAGTCAGTAGGACTGGATGTCCTTAGTCATTGGAAATCGTAGATTCTATCCTGGAAGATAGAGGCTAGAAGTTCAGTTTTCTTCGTCATAGGTAGAGGTACAGGAATCGACACGTGCAGGACTCAAGAGCTCTATGCCCACAGATGGGGCTTGTAGAAAATTGGAACAAATAGGCCCTCGGAAAAAATTCACGTGGGTTTTGAAATTCAAACTTGAACAAACCGGTAATGAGCAGATTACTACCTCACGCAACTCAATTTCGTTGAGGTAAGGTAATGCCAGAAGGCCGATAAGATACTTTATTTTTCTCCACGAGAACGGTAATTTCACTTGAGGAAGATGGCTGGCCCTCTAGGCCACCTCGGACCTTTTCAAGGCAACGGCATGAGTAGAAAAGGGACTTTTCAATTTTCTCTTCGAGAATAAATAGAAATCACTTGACAGCTTTGAAGGAAAACACTGTCAACCTGTCGACCCTAAAGTACTACGTTCGAAAACTATGAACGAGGTTAAAGAGCAACGAAGTACCAAGTGGAGTAGATCAAGATAGTACAAAATAAAGCGCCTATGTCCATCCCGAGGTCGCCGATAAAATAATACATTCAGCCGGCAATAAATGCCGTCACATGGACTGAAAATTTAAAATATAAATATTATTTATAGAAAAAAAAGCAAGTGACATTTGCAATGTTACAGAAGTTTAAAATGGATGATGTCAAGACTTGATACTCAATGTTGGCTGATGAACAGTAAAAAATAAAACCAATGTATTAATCAGAAGATTGATCATCACTTGCTTCATCTGTACATAGATATTAGTGGCATATTTCCCTGACATAGGTATAGGTAAGTATATGAAGGAAAATATTTTTCCTTATTAGTGCCGTAGGACGGTTGGCATCTCTTTCTTTTCTTGGTCACAGATTACCTACATACAGATGCGAAAGACCGGCGAATTTATGGTTCAAGATTAATTTGATAGACATAGGCTGGCCGCACCAATGCCGCATCAATGTATTTTGAACATATTTATTATATAAATGCGGAAGCTCAATAATATAATATTATTTCTTTAATTGGTTCACAAACAGCAAAAAAATATTCTTTTTTACCCGCAAAAATATGTAAACACACAGGCTGGAACATGCTTACGCACCCGGCCACGTTAATTGTCCTGACGCGGGCGATCTGTGTCTATGCGCCAGGGCGCTGGCTCCCCGGCTTCGACACAGAATATCGTCGACGGCAAGTATACGTACGCAAGTATACGTACTTACGCATCTGTATTAGGTGATCTGTGTCTTGGTAATACCCGAAGGGTTCAGCTTCTGATGATGTTTGGTTTGTTTCCGCATCTGTTTTGGGCTGCTTGTATTATTCTGCAACGTTGTCTTGAGTTCTCTTGGCAAATATGCTAACTGATAAAAATTAGAAAGGCACTAAGCACCACAAAATTATCAAAAAAACAGTAAAAGATAACTTAGCCAAACGCTCATCACTGATACAAGGATCACGACTGAGGAGCACCGTTTGTAACAAGAATAGTCGCATTGTATCAATCAAGTACAAATCCAAGCGCACCCGGAGTTTTTTGGAAATTCCAAATTTCCAAGTAGAGGTACGACCATGTAATTTTGGGAAAGTAATAAGTATGAGGTACCTAGAGAC